ACTTTTCACTGTATTTTGCACCAGGAGGCTTTGTGTTGCAAGTCATTAAAGATGGATAACGTCATGAAGGTTGTCATCCAAACTGTTAATTTCATCCGATCCAGAAGCCTGAATCACTGTCAGTTTGACAGCCTTCTCAGAGAGAAAGACCACATCTATGGCCTGCCATACCACACTGAGGTAAGATGGTTAAGCCGAGGTGCTGTGCTGAGGCGTTTCTTTGATTTACGAGAAGAAATTGAACAGTTAATGGAAGAAAATGGCAAACCAGTGTTAGAATTTCATTCCGCAGAATGGATGCCGGACCTTGCATTTATGGTGGATGTTACAGAGCACCTGAATAACTTGAACAAACAGCTGCAAGGGCGCAACAAAGTTGTCACGCAGTATTATGACAGCATACGTTCTTTCAAGTTGAAGCTGTCATTGTGGGAGACGCAACTTGCCGGTGGTGATGCAGCTCACTTCCCCTGTCTGAAAAATGTGTGCGCGACCCAACATGTGGCAGACATGAAGCGGTTCAAAAATAAAATAACTGGACTGTTACGGGAGTTTGAGCAACGCTTTCAGATTTATGTTTATATGTTTTTATGTTGATGTGCTATTGTTTTTAATTGATTTTATTTTAGTTGTATATTTAACCTATTCTTGACTCTGTGGTTCTTGCACTTGTTTGGGGAACAGGATTTCATTATTTTTATCTACATTTCTGCCTGAGAAATGACACCCTGATATAGTTCTGTGATCTGTGATATACTTCTGTGAATCACTGAGGCATTGTGTGTTTGTGTGTTCTTTGTCCTCAGAACTTTCAAATAACTTGAGGTGTTTTATGATTAATAGTGATGTTGTGCTTTTGGACACTGTCCTCAGGCTCCAGCTTTATGTTTATATGTTTTTATGTTGATGTGCTATTGTTTTTAATTGATTTTATTTTATTTGTATATTTAACCTATTCTTGACTCTGTGGTTCTTGCACTTGTTTGGGGAACAGGATTTCATTATTTTTATCTACATTTCTGCCTGAGAAATGACACCCTGATATAGTTCTGTGATCTGTGAAACAGTTCTGTTAATCACTGAGGCATTGTGTGTTTGTGTGTTCTTTTTCTTGAAAATTTTCAAATAAACTTGACGTGTTTTTTGATTAATAGTGATGTTGTGCTTGTACTATTTTGGACACACTGTCCTCAGGCTCCAGCTTTATGTTGTATGTTGATCGTATTAAAACAAAGAAAACAATCTGAAGTTGTTGTTTTTAAGTTATATATACCATGATTTTTCCAGTCCGGCCCACTTGGGAATAGATTTTCCTCCATGTGGCCCCTGAGCTAAAATGAGTTTGACACCCCTGGTCTAGTCTGAATGATATACACTACATGACCAAAGGTATGTGGACACCTGCTTGTCGAACATCTAATTCCAAAATCATGGGCATTAATATGGAGTTGAACCCCCTTTGCTGTGTAGTATCTGAGGAATTATGACTTTGCTAACGTTTTCAAATGGAACCTGAGAGGAGGTTTATTCAGCTTAGAGGGAGCATCTGGGGAGTAGATTTAGGGGGACACCCCATAGAACAGAGGAAGTCTGTTGTGTGGAGACAGGGGATTGGTTGGTAGGAAGAATCACCCATATCAGATTACATAGGATATATACCACAGTTAGGACAAAGGAAGACAGAATAATCATATTTGAGATGGGGCGATTATTCTCCAGATATCTGCAGGTATCTGTAAATCGACGCTGTAACCCTTTGTTATGAATAAACCTTTATGATGAAAATACAGCGTCAGCGGTTCTCCTTGGTCTCACAGCATAATTAGCAACGTTTTCTCGACACAACAGCTGCTATAACAGCCTCCACTCTTCCGGGAAGGCTTTCCACTACATGTTGGAATATTGCTGCGGGGACTTGCTTCCATTCAGCTACAAGAGCATTAGTGAGGTCGGGCACTGATGTTGGAGATTAGGCCTGGCTCGCATTCGGTGTTCCAATTCATCCCAAAAGGTGTTAGATGGGGTCGAGGTCAAGGCTCTATGCAGGCCAGTCAAGATCTTCCACACCGATCTCGACGAACCATTTCTGTATGGACCTCACTTTGAGAACGGGGGCATTGTCATGCTGAAACAGGAAAGGGCTTTCCCCAAACTGTTGCCACAAAGTTGGAAGCACAGAATCGTATAGGATGTCATTGTATGCTGTAGTGTCTAGTGAAATCTTAACTGGAACTAAGGGGCCTAACCCAAACCATGAAAAACAGCCCCAGAACATTATTCCTCCTCCACCAAACTTTACAGTTAGCATTATGCATTGGGGCAGGTAGCGTTCTCCTGGCATCCGCCAAACCCAGATTCGTCCGTTGGACTGCCAGATGGTGAAGTGTGATTCATCACACCATATAACGCGTTCCCACTGCTCTAGATTCCAATGGCGGCGCGCTTTACACCACTCCAGTCGACGCTTGGCATTGCGCATGGTGATCTTAGGCTTGTGTGCAGCTGCTCGGCCATGGAATCCCATTTCATGAAGCTCCCGACAAACAGTTATTGTGCTGACGTTGCTTCCAGAGGCAATTTGGAACTCGGTAGTGAACGTTGCAACCGAGGGCAGACGATTTATACACGCTACAGCAATCTGCAGTCCTGTTCTGTGAGCTTGTGTGGCCTACCACTTTGCGGCTGAGCCGTTGTTGCTCCTAGATGTTTCCACTTCACAATAACAGCACTTACAGTTGACCCAGGCAGCTCTAGCAAGGAAGAAATTTGACGAACTGACTTGTTGGAAAGGTGGCATCCTATGATGGTGCCACGTTGAAAGTCACTGAGCTCTTCATAAGGCCATTCTACTGCCAATGTTTGTCTATGGAGATTGCATGGCTGTGTACTATTTAATACAGCTGAAATAGCCGAATCCACTAATTTGAAGGGGTGTCCACATACTTTTGTATATATAGTGCAGCTAAGTATTAGTCTGATCCATTCACTACCACATTTCAAGATTAACACAACGTACAGATTACAGTTAATTTAGATAAAGGTTTATTTTCTTGCATGGAAATCTAAAATAATTATTTCTTAAACAAACCCTTACGAAAAAAGATTGCAGTTCGAGTGCAGTATGCTGGAAATACTGCATCAGCGTATTTTTTAATACTATGGAAATTTTACAGTGTAACTGTAGTTCAACTGCAGTTATTCTGCAATTACCACAGTCTGCAGTTACTGCACTTTTACTGCAGTTTGAAAACTGCAATCTTTTTTTGCAAGGGAAAATAGCACAATTCTAGTGTTGGATCCTGGGTAAAGCTAAATCTCAGTACTCTCTGGAAAAACAATCTAATAATTTAAAAAAAACATTGATAAGTCTGACACGGTATGCCAACGTACAGCTGAAATAAATGATTAACCATTCAAATAAACAGTAAGGGACAACAAATAATTCTGAAATGGGTCAAAATAAAGTCAGATGTCCAATATTCATTTAACATGCAAAGATAAAGAAAACCCATAAATGTATAATTCTTGTGCAATTAATATCTATAGGCTACTTAGAGGTTATTTTATTTTTATCAAGCATTAGTGCGTAAGCTGGCGCAAGTTGCCAATTTAGGCTACTGTTTGAAAAAAAAATCTGCAAAACATTAGGCTTCTATTCAATAGGCCTAAATATTCAATAAATAAATTAAGAAATGTTTAAGAAAAACATCATTGTTCAACAAATGTTCAACAGAAGAAGGGACCTATACAGCGCATTTTTCTATATTTACAGGTTAAAGTTGGGTGCGATTTTCACTTTACCACAGTCGGGCGGTTACAGATGGGTTATTAGCAATTGTGGGTGGGTGCAGGTGAACAAAAAGCTAGTGTACAGGCCATGTACTGCGTATAGCAGTACTAAATATACTGTGAGAGTCCTATACTCTATGCACCATACACATCATTACTTATTGAGTGACAAAGATAGAATAAAAAATGCGAAATGATAAATTAAATTCTGAATCACAATAAATAAAAAGATAAGAGCACAGTGCCCACATGGCAAAACAAAATAACAGTTCTGGATACTTAACCAGTAAGATAGATGATAGATGAGTCAAACATACAAAAAACAAACATTACAACTAATTATCTAAATCAGAGAAATGTCTAAACTGACAATATTACAAAATCTAGTTTTTTTGCAAAAGCCTCAATATTGGCAATGTACTCTAAAGAATAACTCGTACTGTACTACATCAATATTTATGAGGAAGGGAACATTCGTTAACTTCAAGAACATTCTGGACTAGTTCAAAAGACAGGACAATATTTATTTGCAAATATGAAAATAGTTTCCCTTCCCTTTAAAAGGAACTTTCATTTTTTTCAAGACTTGTTTTTTATGATCTTAAAACACATCATTATTAAGCCATTTAAAAATATGCATTTCATTGAAACCCTAATCCAAAATATGCATTTGAAACTTGAAAACATATGCATCAAATCCTATTTGCTTACATTGAACAAACATTGGTAATGTTATACAAATCTTAATAGAATTACAGTAGAATGAACCCTATAGTGGCCTACATTTCAACCTTATTTTAACCTTTCAGCAAAGTCATTCAATGACTTTCTTAATCAAAAAAGCAGATAGATTATTTCTGTTAGCAAAAACAAAGCAAGTATTAATCATTTTTTAAGTTACAAGAAGTACATTATTAGGAGGGGTTAACTTACAATCAAAAATCCAAGCGCTGAACATGGTTATGTTCTATGTTCTTATTTTTCTTGCATTTCAGAAAAATAGTCCTATGTATCCTGCATCTTTGTTGAAAGATGCCATACATTTTAGATTGTTGATTCTAGAATGATCAGCAGTAGCAGGTGTCTCAGGAATCCTCTGTTACAATTTCTGCCCCTGTAACCTACTAAACAACCGTTTGTACTGTAGCGTTGCTTGATACGCCCTGCTCCAGCCAGGTGTCTGTGGTGAAGTGCTGAGCTCAGTGGCGCCCTCATGTTTTGGAGGAGCAGAGGGAGATCTGCTGCACCGTGCCCAGGTCTGTGAGCATCTGTCTGATACGGTGTTTGAGCTGAGGCAGCCGGGTCAATGGGTCAGGAGGCTCCAGTTCCCCTGTGTAGTCAAGCCAACTCTCCAACACTGCAGAGGAATCGTCGGAAGGAGCAGGAGGGAGAAGGAAAGAAAAGGGGAGGGACCGAGAGCGAGAAATAAATAAGAGTTGTATAAACCTTACATCCATGTGAAATTGATCTTCCTTCAACAGGATTTTTTTGGGTATCTTTATAATGAAGAATCTCTGTGTGGCGCAAGTCTCACCATCCAGCTCCTTCTCAATGAGGTCCATCCTGTGTGTGACTTGGTTCTGCATGGCCTCTATGTGATCCAAAAGGTTGATCTGCCACTGCTGATGCAGCACATTGTCTTTTTCTGGGTCTGGCTTTATGTCTGTGCTGGGCTCAGCCTCTTCTGTCCTCATCTCTACTTCACTCTCCATTCCCACATACAGCTTCTTATACAGATCCAGACCCTGGAAAAAGAACAAAACATGCCATCTAAGTCATAATTCCAGCTACTTTAGCTTGCAGCTAGCATCATTTCACCACTTGTTTCACCATAAGTATATCACTACTGACATACAATATTTTTTGAGAAAGAGTACAGACCTTGTCTGGTTGTAGGGCAATTGGGTGAATCTTGGCCCGGTCCTGCAGCAGGGAGCTGGGGTAGAGTTTGGCTCTGTCTGGGTCCAGTGGGCCACCATAGCACTGCTCCAGCAGGTTCTCAGTGCTCCTCAGGCTGTCCTCCAGCTCAGAGCCTCCCCGTGTCTCCACCACTAGCCTCTGCTCCACCGCTGGGTAGTACGCTCGCGGTTTCTGGTAGCAGTGCTCACTGCTGATGTACGAAGCGTTCGAGTCCTGGAAGGATGTTGGGCTCATCTGAACCCTTTTGAGCTTCTCAGAGGGGGCGGAGACTGACGTGGCCCTCAGCGCTTCGCCCCCCTCCCCTCGGTCGTTGGCTGCAGGTGAAGGGGCCCTGCAGGTCGCCATACTGCAGCTCCTACCCAGCTCCTCCTCCTGCTTCCAGGGCTGGCGCCACAGCTTCAGGTCAGAGTGTGTCTGGGTCCTGTAGAGGATGATAGAGAGAGGTGAGGGCTAATTCACAGCCACTGAAGATGGATCATCCAAGAACCAATCACACCCAAAATGGTGAAACATGACATTTTTGGGAATTATTAGCAGTAACTTTCGTAGTACTCACTGAAGGATGCTCATCTTAAGCTGCAGGCCGTTGAGCACCTCAAATACATGGTGTACATCACCCAGGAGCTGGTGAGTGGCTGTTATCTTCTTTCCATTCTGGTGGGAGTAGTTCTCATCCAGGAAAGACAGGCCATACATGTGACCACTGCTCAGCCAATCCCTGTCGTACCAGTAACGCTGGCTCTGTCTCTGGACTGAGAGAACAGGCAAGATACACATTCATGTACACTGTCAAAGAACAGAAACCCATAGGAGATCTAATACTAGATTGAGGTGTTTATAGTGTGCTTACCTGGTGGGTCTCTGCAAATGTAGCAGTTATATGTGTCAGGTACATTGTGCTCGAAGAGGCCCATACAGGTGCCATGCTGCCAGCACAGACATTCATCACACTAGGAGATGGACAGGACATGGTCACTTCACATATTATTCAAATGGCTAACACACGTGAAAAACAAAAAGCAACAGAACAGTGTTGTTTTAAAGGTTATTCTGTGTCTAACGTCAGATCCCGGTGAGCCTCACCTGAATCATGAAATCATTCTCCTCCTCCACCTCACAGACGCAGCGCACTATGTCAGAGCCCTTGGTCACCATGGATACATTCTGTTCTGACATGGGAGTGGTCACATCCAGCTCCGCCTCCATGTACTCATCACTCCACTCAGCGCTGACTGTTGACCAATCACTTTCATCTATTCATAGGGTCGAAAGGAAAACCATGTTTAGTTGACACTATTGTCTGATGTTGAGTGGGCAAAAAGTGGACCCAAAACAAATATGCCAAGCATCTGCATTTTGACACTCAGGCTAACATTTACAGATTTACATATTACAAGATTTTAAATTAGCTGATTATTATAGGACAACACCAATGCCCTAAAACATGCTGATACCACTTCAAGCCTGAGTGGAGAGGAAGGAGAAGGATTGTGAATAATAGCTAACCTGAATAAAGCAAAAAGGACAGAGTGAGAAGTATAAAGAAGATGTAAGGTCTTGGTACCCACCGTCCTCTTGCACCTGATCTGTGATGTGTTCTGGGCTTGAGTCGTAAGATAACTTGTGTTTGTGCGAGAGGGGGAATTTGGATACCAGATTCGGATTGGACTGAGTAGAGTTAAATAAGGAGATGCCTATGTTCTCCTCACCATTCGTATTCTCTGTCAGGGGGAAAGCATATGCAGGTTTGAGACTGGGTCAGTACATTCAAAGCGCGTGTGGAATACTGAAGAATCTGGAACATTAACTGAGCATTACATACAAAATATATTTTATTGTTAGAATTTGGCCTGATTTCTAAAGGCAGATGGACATTGGCAAATCAGATTCCACTAAAGACGTATTGTCAACTGATAAAGGCAGACTCCAGACACTCATTCTGTCAATATCATCTTACCTGACTTTGACCTCCCTTTCTTCTTCCTTTTCTTCTGTTTATTGAGGAAGTCTCTTTCCGTCTTCTCTCTAATCTTTTCCCCTGAAGTAAACAAAAGGACTGAGTCAGCAAACAAGGGATATAAAAAGTAGTTCAACACCCAAGTTGATATTCTCAGTCAAGAATGATGGTAAAATTGGTGTTAAAATGTCCCTCACCTGTTTCACTGGCGCCCCATTCTCTTTCTTCATGGGGTCTGCTGTTGGTGTGCTGGTTCTCCTTCCTTTTCTCACTCAGTGATCTCCGACGATGACAGTTCATCCCATTGGCAGCCTGTCTGTCACCCAGGGGAGAGTCTGTGGTACAGTGGAGCAATGCACAGAAGAGGAGACAAAGTTAAAATGTGATGTATCTATTGTCCATGCATGGATATACAGGACACAGGCATCTGTATACAACTGGTTCAGTTAATAATGTAACAGTGTAGTATGATTGAGCTCAGGTTTGTTGATCCCTGGGGCGGAGTCTTACTACTTACGTATAGAGCCTGACATTGTGCGTCTCTTCCTGGGTGTCTCCTGGGAGCCAGCCTGCTTCTCTGAGGCCCGGGTTTGCATGCTGCCCCCAGAGGCATGCTCGCTGTCTGCATGGTAGTACTTGACGTGGTAGTGCAGGAGAGAGGCCTTCCGGAAGGACTTCAGACAGCCAGGGGCCTTGCACTTGAAGGGGTTGTGGTCCAGTTCAATGGAGAGGATTGGGGGCGGCTGGTTTTTGATGACTCGATACACTGGTAGAGATACAAGGAACAACATGTCATTTAATGGAAGTGTGTGCGCGTGTGTGTGTGTGTGTGTGTGTATGTGTGTTAATGATGCTGTACTCACATGGCTCTCTGCTGTACTTGTGGGTGGTAGGCAGGTGGACTTGGCATTTCAGTATTGATTCTGTAAAGAGACATACAATAGATCAACTGTAGCCTTTTTTGGCACAGAGTTGACAGATCCCAAAATAAGTTCTCTCACATCTCAATGTAAGAGCTGGGCCTGTATTCATAAAGCGCCTCAGAGTCGGAATGCTGATCTAGGATCAGGACCCGCCTGTCCATGTTATGTTACTCATTATGATCTAAAAGGCTAAATGTATCCTAGATCAGCACTCCTACCCGTATTCAAATAGTCAGAAGATGTAAGGACAGCACATGAAGTCTCCTAAATACCTGCAGATTAAAAACAAAACAAAAAAACTCTTACTGTCATATTCATCTCCATCTCCTTGACCTATATCTGATGGGGCTTCGATGCCAGCGTCTGTGGGTGTCTGGGTGTTTGTCTGGTCTGGGGTTAATGCTGGGGACTCTGGGATGGAATCGGATCCTGCCTGCTTCTGAGACTGGCTGTTTCTGTCTGGAGGGGGACGGGCAGAGATGACAGGAGTTATAAACAAAGGACACACAGGGCTTTGAATGTCAGTAACAAGCAACAAGTCAGAGTAGATGCAGACCTTTACTTGTGTCTGGCCTTCTCCTCTTTGGTGGTGGCATCTGTCCAAGAGACACCCTCCTCTTCCTCAGTTCACGTTGACTTTCTGTAAACAACAAGAACCGAAAGGTCAGTGAGACTCTGCAGACATTCTCCCCACATTGTTGACTTCATCCACTTAACCATCAAGCACCAAGATACTGAACCTGTCCTAACACGCTCTAAGCAACGATTCAATGTAACTTTCTGGTTCTTCACAAAAGTGAAGCCATAAGCCAAGCTATCATCTTTTTTTCCCGTTAGGACTTGAGAACAACCATGGGACACTTTCTATTTAAATCTAATGATTCTGCAATTTCAGGAGTTTTCCATTGTTTCACTTTCAAAGCTTTACAGTAACCTACATACCTTCAGAGGGTCGGTACCGGTTCCCCCTGGGCAGCTGGGGACTCTGTCCCGATGCACCCTCTTCTTTCTTCTCCCCCTGCTGTTGGGTACTGCGCATCACTCGCTCCCCTTCTACATTAACTTCTTCCCTTTTAGTTTGGACAACCTGCCCATTTTCCTTGGCTTGTGGCTCTTCTCTCTGCCCTCCTCCTGCCCCCTTTTCCCCCTCTTCTCTGTTTAGGTTCCCTTTCTGTCCACTGGTCTCAACGTTGCCATTCAGCGTTTTTTCCTCTCCATCTTCTCTTCTCTCTTCTTCCTCTCCGTTGCGCTCTCCATCCAGGTCTGAAGAGCAGTTTTTGGATTCGTCACTCACGGCTTTCCCGTTCTCCTTGGCTTTGTCTTTCCCACCGCTCTGCTCACTTTGAGTTCTGTCCCTCTCCCTGGCCTTCCCATTCTATTCACATAGAGACATAAAACTAAGGTAACCCCATCAACCATTCTCTCACACCACTATGAACTAACAATCACATGGAACTCTCACCTCTTTCTTATATGGCTTTACTTTGGTTGGCTTAAGAGTCTTGACTACTCCATCAAAAAACTTCACAGTGTAGGAAGCTGAAGAGAGAACATAAACATGGTCAGAATGTTTACCCAATGTAACTAGAATGCAATGCATTTCTGATTGAACACAATTCTGTCCAGTGGAAGTGTAGGACCCACCATCTCTTTTGACTTCCAGAACTTTAGCAGGATAGTAGCGGCAGTCTACCCAACAGGCCAAGACTTTCTCATTCACCCGAAACACCTACAAGGGAAAGAAAAGTTCATCACTGATAAACACCAATCTGATATTCACCGTCATGAAGTTTAACCGGAATTTGGGAGGTGTAATAATACGTTCTCTATGTGGTTGCCGCCTAATCAGTTTAATCATAGGCTTTCTGCGTTTATGTCTGGATATTGTCTAGGGTAACACCATTATGTCCGAGTCCTAGTCTCCCTCACCGGGCTGGGTCTTTTGTCCTGCAGACCCTCTCTCCTCAACTGGATCCTCTCCAGGGGCCTCAGGTAGGGGCTGGTCCAGTCAAACCACTCGTCATAGCGGTGGCTCCACTGACGGTAGTGGATCAGAACCTTCTCCTCCTCATAGTCTATCTTCTCTATGCTCGCCTGGTACCTGATTAGTAGGGAGTTAGGATGTTCAATAAGACTGATAATGGTAGACAAGAACAATAGGAAATGAACATTAGAAACTTGGCCTGTTGGACAGTGATCAGATGGAAATGACACTGACCAGTTCTTCAGGCTGTCGCGAGCCTCCAGCTGTGCTCCCACCTCAAAGGTGATCCCTCTTCTGTTGGGAGGAGTCTTGGTCATCATGGACACATTCAAGGCCTACCTGTGGGACAGCAGGACATAACATCAAACAGGAGACTAGCATTATGTCAAATCTCCACATGAACTGGCCACGACAACAAACCTGAGTCACCGCAGGAAGCTCATTGTCACACCAGCACACGTCACATTGTATAATTTCAACAGGAAAGCAAAAGTCTGGAGTTATGAAGATATCACATCTTTGAAGCACCATTTGCTGCAATCAGTCAACTGAAAAAGTACTATGTCTGTTCATCATCCAATTCACTAGGGCCAATTCAGTATCAACAGGTGTCTGTCTGATAGGCTAATGGTTGCAATCCAGCACCCCAATCTAGCAGAGCATCCATCTCCCTGGTCCTTCCGTCTCAGTAAACCTGCTGACTGGTGTCTCCTAATTACATAGAACTACTAATAGTGTTTAAGATGGGAGTGCATCAGTCCACGGACCCCAAACCAATCAAAATGTATACGGAACAAAAATATAAAATCCAACAATTAACCAAATTTCTGGTCCATGTGAATCAACTTATCCAAATACTTTTCCATCTGTAACGCCAATACTTTTTAATACAATTTTGGGTCAGAAATAATTAAAGATATCAGACGATAATTTGCACAATCTGTGTGATCTTTCCTTTGACAGCAGTGAGATTAACGCAGAGTTAGTATGCTCATATATATATATTTTTTTACTTGATGATGGCCGAATGAATTGACTCCAATAATACTGGTCCTAAAATGCCCCAATTCCGGTGGAATGCCAACCGGGACAGGTGATTTACCCTTTTTAGCACCTTTCAGCGCTGACTCCAGTTCCTCTAATGAGATGGGTCGGCCCAGATCCGCAGATTGCTTCTCATCCAATACGGGCAAATCAAGATTATCTAGAAACTGCTTGCATTTGTCAGGCTCAAACTGGATAGAAGATTGATATAAAAAATACTGAAATGTTGCATTAATTTCCTGTGTATCAGAAAGTAAGCCTTTAGATGGGGATTGAATAGATTCTATAGAAGTACAAGATTCACTTTGTTTCAATTTTAAAGGCTTGGTTTGCTCCCATTAAAATAATATTTCTGCCTCACTATGCATGATGAACTCAGCTCTCCTCCTTGATAAATCATTCAGATCCAGTTTAACCACCCACAAATCATTGCTGACATTATTTGAGTAATTCCTTTTCAGGTTCTGTTCAAGTGATCTTTTCTCCAATAACTTGATTCTGTGAGTCCTGGCTTTTTTGAGGTAAGAAGCAAAAGATGTAAAGTCTCTGATAAATCCTTTAGTAGCTATCCATGTAAACCTTGGATCCTCTACAGAGTCCTTTTTTTTGCTAAGAATTCAAATACTTTGGCTTGAAATTCAGCGATGAACAATTTGTTTTGAAGAAGGGTCGTATTAAAACGCTAACGTTTTGTTTTATTCACCTTAAAGCTCACACCCACTTGGGTAACCAGGGGATTATGATCTGAAAGAGTCGCAGGCAATATTTGTATTGGCGCGACGCACATACTTAGAGTACGCGATAATAGAAACATTCTAGAGTATGATTTGTGATATAAAGAAAGACAGGTATAATCTTTGATGCCCGGATTCTGAACTCACCACACATCAGATTGCATTCAACGCTAATGATGCTGATTGTTGGGCATGTGAAAAATGTTTGCGTGGATCTATCAAGCTTGAGATCGAAAACTGCATTCAATTCGTACTCTGAAAGTGATAACAATTCTTTAGTAAGGCCAGGGAAAAAGCTGTCCTCAAAAACAGCGGGTGCATAGATAGACACAAATGCTACTTTCTTGCCATATATAGACATGCTAATGTAAGCTAAGCGGCCTGAAGAGTCCTTGCTAGTCTTTTCGATAACTAAAGTTACATTCCTTTTAATCAAAATAACCGCGCCTTTGGACTTAGAGGCTCCACTAGTCAAAGCAGCAACTTTATACACCTTATCCTGTAAGCGAGGGATATCTTCTACTCGCAGATGAGATTCCTGGATAAATGCAATATAAATATTTTTAAAACGCTGCATTAAGTCTAAACCGTTCTTAATTTTCGCATTCAAAACACAGACATTCAGGCATAAGAGACCATAACAATCCTGACAATTACGAGTTGAACTGAAAGTGGTTAAGATTTACCTTCGATAAACAGTGAAATGTAACCGACGTCACGTTCCAACTTCAGCATACCTCCATTTAAATATCGTTTAAACGTTAGGTAGTCCGATGATTGCTGCAAATCCATGGGTTCAAACTGTGAAAACATTACCATATTTTTATAATAATTCAGTACTAAATAATAATAATAATCTAAATTTAAAAAAGCGTCCAAAATAAAGTGAACAGGATGAACCAGCCTCCAGCTCTGCTAGCCAGCTAATGTTAATCCTTAGCGCCAACAGTGAAGGAAAGCGTCCTCCATTTTCGGTCCCGGTACTAGGAGAAGTTCCTGTCCAACTAAATGTTAGCTAGCCGGTTAGCGGTATCTTTAGCTCCCAGTTGCTCCAGTTTCATTCTGTGTCTCGTCATCCTGCTGTAAGGGCCCTTCCTCTGCATCCGTAAAGGAAAGCACTCTTTTTGTGTTTGTGTGTGGGGGGGGGGGGGCGTGTAAACCTGTCGCCGGGGAGACTACTCCGAAATTCCTCTACCACTTTTGCAGAGGCGAAGGAGAGCTGCTCACTGTTGACAGTAAGTCGCAGGGTGGTGGGATAGATCAGAAAAGAGGGTATGCCCTGCGAGTACAATTCCCTCTGGACCTCTGCGAAAGCATTCCTTCGCTGATTTGTGAAGGCACTATAGTCCGCATAAAAAGGTATGGTTCTCCAGGCATCTTGGAGGGGCGCATTCTTTCTTGCTTCATGCGTTCCTTGTAGAATAGCGTTGCGGTCTTGGTATCTGAGAACCTTGTAGACCATGGTCTGGGGGTTGTCCTTCTTTGCATTTTGGTTGTAGATCCTGTGGGCCCTTTCCATTTGAATCGGAGTAGTTCCAAGTGACAAAATCCATTTGGGAAGGATTTCTTGCAGGAAAGCAATTGCATCACCTCCCTCCCGGTTTGTAGCAATCCCCGTGACCCTCACGTTATTGCGTCTGTATTGATCCTCAAGCGACGCCATTTTGAACCACATCATCTCAAGTTCCAAAGTGCAGAGGTTCACATCCCTTTTTAGGCACCTTGCCTCAGTCTGAATGCAATCCACCTTTTCTATTAGCGCTCCAACTGATCCATGTGGGTGGCCAACTTATCTTAAATAAATAAATTTATCTTGCAAGGTAGCATCTTGTTCCTTCACTCCTTGAATTGCGGCACCAAAAGCACGTGTAACCACCGCCTCCATCCGGTCTTGTTCAGCTAAACCTAGCGAAATGGTGTTACTAAAGCTAGCATCAGTAGTAACTTTGGTTTTCTGGCATTTAGTTGCCATTTTGGTGGGCGAACCCGTATGTTCCTTGACCCCAGACATTTCCACTGACGTTTAAACTAGAAAGTATAAAAAGTTGAAGTAGATAACCTGAATAAAATATAGAATGAGGAATTGTCGGCAGGAGTCTGACCATTGTGCTTGTAGGTCACGTGACCTTCACATCGCATGCTTTCTTGTGTGCAAAATGACAGTTGTGTACAGTGCAATCGGGAAGTATTCAGATCCCTTCACTTTTTCCACAAATTGATTGTTCTTTTCCCTCATTAATCTACACACAATTCCCAATAAAGATATTTTTGCAAATGTATTAAAAATAAACATTTACATAAGTAATCAGACCCTTTACTCAGTACTTTGTTGAAGCACCTTTGGCAGCGATTACAGCCTTGAGTCTTTTTGGGTATGACGCAACAAGCTTGGCACACCTGAATTTGGAGAGTTTCTCCCATTCTTCTCTGCAGATACGCTCAAGCTCTCAGGTTGGATGGGGAGCGTTGCTGCACAGCTATTTTCAGGTCCCTCCAGAGATGTTCGATCGGGTTCAAGTCCAGGCTCTGGCTGGGCCACTCAAGGACATTCAGAGACTTGTCCCGAAGCCACTCCTGCATTGCCTTGGCTGTGTGCTTAGGGTCATTGTCCTGTTGGAAGGTGAACCGTCGGCCCAGTCTGAGGTTCTGAGAGCTCTGGAGCAGGTTTTCATCAAGGATTTCTCTGTACTTTGCTCCATTCATCTTTCGCTCGATCCTGACTAGTCTCCCAGTCCCTGCCGCTGAAAAACATCCCCACAGCATGATGCTGCCACCACCATGCTTCACCGTAGGGATGGTGCCAGGTTTCCTCCAGACGTGACACTTGGCATTCAGGCCAAAGAGTTCAATCTTGGTATCATCAAATCTTGTTTCTCATGGTCAGAGAGTCCTTTGCCAAAAAGCACCTAAACTCCAAGCGGGCTGTCAAGTGCCTTTTACTGAGGAGTGGTTTCCGTCTGGCCACTCTACCATAAAGGCCTGATTGATGGAGTGCTGCAAAGATGGTTGTCCTTCTGGAAGGTTCTCCCATCCCCACAGAGGAACGCTGGAGCTCTGTCAGAGTGACCATCAGGTTCTTGGTCACCTGCCGGACCAAGGCCCAAGGCCCTTCTCCCCCGATTGCTCAGTTTGGCCGGGCGGCCAGCTCTTGGAAGAGTCTTGGTGGTTCCAAACGTCTTCCATTGAAGAATGATGGAGGCCACTGTGTTCTTGGGGACCTTCAATGCTGCAGACATTTTTTGGTACCCTTCCCCAGTCCTGTCTCGGAGCTCTACTGACAATTCCTTTGACCTCATGGCTTGGTTTTTGCTCTGACATGCACTGTCAACTGTGGGACCTTATATAGACAGGTGTGTGCCTTTCCAAATCATGTCCAATCAATTGAATTTACCACAGGTGGACTCCAATCAAGTTGTAGAAACATCAAGAATTATCAATGGAAACAGGATGCACCTGAGCTCAATTTCGAGTCTCATAGGAAAGGGTCTGAATACTTAAGTAAATAAGGTATTTTTGTTTTTTATAAATTTGCTAAAATC